GAGTGAGGGTGAACCTTAGTCGTTGAATTCACTTCCTTGTGTCAACAAATGGGGAAATTGAGGCCTAGAGAAAGGGCTTGCCCCAAATCAAACAGTATGCAGGTGGCTGCATGGACTGAAAGCTGGGTCTGTTGCTCACCTCACAGTGTTTCAGCCACAACAGCACCTCGCCTGACCGCTCCCTCCTGCTGCCCTGCCCTCCTTCTTTGGGTTCATGGGCTGATCAGGGGCGTGTGTGTGTGTGTGTGTGTGTGTGTGCCTCTGGAAACCCTGAGCTGGATCAGGACGAGGTGACACACTAGCTAAAAGCCCCTCGCTTCCCCTGGCTGTCTCCCCATCTGTCTGCATTCCCAGCCAGCCTGCCTGCCACTCATCCACAGGAGCTCAGGCCTAGTGAGTGCAGGCGCCTGCCCTCTGCTGGCCAAGGTGGGAGGTGCCGCTTCGGCATGGAGCTAGCCTGGGCTGTGGGGTTCTGGCTGCTGGCTGCCCTGCAACAAGGGCAAGAGCGGCTCCCAGAGGCCTGAGTTGGAGGTAGGAGGTTGGGGGGGGGATTGGGGCCCACTCCATGAGGCTGCTCTCTCTGGCACTGCGCTAGGGTGGGCAGGGGTGAGGCCTGCCAGGTCAGAGCTACTCTGAAACATATATGGCAGCTATGGGAGCTGGCATGGGGGACAGGGCCCAGCCTGTTACCTGGCCCCTCTGTTCTTGACCCACAGTGGGTTCCTCATGACCCATCCATGGCTAGGAAGCTGGGCCAAGCCACCTACAAATGTCTATTAGGGAAGCAGGTGCAGGCTGGGTTCAACACGGCAGAACTGTGGTTTCCACAGAGCAGAACACATCAACCTGGGAGAAAGGCTGAGGCCTAGAGACTCAGTACGTCTGCCCACTGCAGGACTGTGTTCCCCTAAACTCTCATGCCAAAGCTTTAACCCCTAGGACGTCAGAATGTGGCTGGAGACGGAGCCTCTGAAGATGTGACTGAGACACAATGAGGGCTCGAGACTCCGAGTAGAGATTAGTGTCCCTCCAAGGAAAATCAGGTCACGTCATGCAGGAGCTGCCCATGTAAAGACACAAGGCAATGGCGACCCCCTGTAGCCCCATCACAGCTTTATCTCGTAGTCTGGTCTCCTGAATGTGAGCGGACAAGCTTCTGTTGCCCAAGCTCACAGCGCTGGGGTTTGAACCCAGCACCTCCTGCTTGCTTAGCTATGCCTCTAGCCCCTTACCTCCCTTCTCTGACATTGGGAATTGAATTGATAGCCTTGTGCACGCTAGACAAGCCTTCTATCACGTGATAGCCCTTACGTTTGCATTTTTTCCCTTTGAGTTAGCATCGTTCCGTGTGCTATCAGCTGGCTTTGAACTCAGAATTTTCCTGCCTCTATCTCCTAAATAGCCGAGATTGCCGGCATGCGCCTCCCTGCCAGCATCTGTGACATTCTGTGATGCAAGAAGCAAACAGGTAGTTTGGAAGTACAAATCCTAGTTTGCACCTATGTGTGGATGGTTTGAGACTTGTACATCACTTTGGATCTCTACTCCAACACACCTGGTCAAAATGAAACCTCTCCCTTCTTCCCTTCCTGCCTTGAAGCCGTGAGGTAAACTGAGACAACCTCATGAGGGGTGTTGGGAGCTCCTGTGGCCCACAGGGGGTGAGGCCCAGGCAAGAACTGTGGGGGTCCAGTGGAGGATGGTGGGGAGGAGAGGGGCAATGGTACTAACAGACTGGTCATGATTGTGATTGAATGAGAATAAAGGAAGGTCAGCAGTGGAGGCATGGTTCAAGTGGCAGAGCACCTGCCTGGCAAACCTGAATTCAACCCCCCTAGTATTGTGCACTTCTCCAAAATGGGGTTTGCAGTGCATGCTGGCAATTTTAGCACTCAGGAGGCAGAAGGCTCCTGAGGTTGGAGGCTAATCCAGGTTAAGTAGCAATTAATTCCCTGACTCAAAAAACAGGCGGGGCAGGCTGATACACAGCTGTAATCTCAGGTAAGTGAGAAGCAAAGGTAGAAAGACTATGGTCTGAGACCATCCCCAGGGCTGGGCTCCAGCATGTTTACCTGAAGCCTCATCACAGCCAGAGTCTGGAGTCAGGTCAGAGAGCAAGTGCTTCCTGGGTGAGCTGTGGAATGGCATATTTCAGGTTCTAGCTCTCCAGCCTCCAGGACACTGTAATGTCACCCTGCAGTAGCCTCTGTGAGTGTGTAGTATAGGGGTGGAGTGCAGTGGTGCCTGATATGGAGCAGGGCTTCTGGAATCTACTTGATGTCCTGTAGGCATGCATGCACGCATCACTGCTGCCACCTGGTGGTCACCCTGAGTCACTGGCCCGGAGCCCAGGCCAGAGGAAGGATTGGACCAACCAACCTCCCTCCAATGGAACCAGGCAGCAGAGCCTGATTCACCCAGCACTGTTCCCCTGGCCAGGCTCAAAGCAGCCATGACCACTAAGGGCAGCAGCCAAGTTTGGGAGATGGGTGATGTCCTTTTGATGGGGGCCCAGCACAAATGCTGTCCTGGAGGGGGCATTAGAGGCTGAAGTCCCTGCAAACAACCCAGGAGTTGGAGGGGCAGTGCTCTGGGCAGGTGTCTGCAGCAGAGGACAGTTTAGACTGGACAGCAATAGCAACATATAGTTGTGTGTGTGTGTGTGTGTGTGTGTGTGTGCGCGCGCGCGCCACTACTGGTGCTTGAACTCAGGGCCTTGCGCTTTCTCTTAGCCTTTTGACTCAAGACTGAATTTTACCATTTACGCCACAGCTCCAATTCCAGATTTTTGCTGGTTATTTAGAGGTAAGAGATTTGTCTGCCTGGGCTGGCCAGGAACCTTGATCCTCAGATCTCAGCTCCTGGGTGGCACCTGGTAGTGTGTGTGTACATATATATATATATATATATATATATATATATATATACATATATATATGTATGTATATATACGTATTTACATACATATATTTTTTTTTTGTGTGGCAGGTGTGGTGCCACTTGTCTTCACAACAGCCATGAAAAGATTATTAAGGAAATGGAGGCACAGGGAGATTAGGTAATTAGCCTAAGTACACACAGCTCAAAGGGGCTGTCCAGGATCGGCTACACCACACCTGAAGGTCCAGTTGCCGGGTACTGACACTGGGTCAGGGGCTGTCAACAGCCAGGTGATGGAGGTCAGCACTTTGCTGCAGGCCCAGCGCTACCCTCCTGCATTCCCTCCTGGGAACCCCCTCCCTCCGTGCCTGGAAAGAGACCCTGCCACCACTCAAGCCTCTATCAGGAAGCTGGTCCTCTTCCTGTGCTATAGTTATCCTCCCCACCCCCCATGCTGTGCGGCCCCATCTTTCCCTGAAGCCTTGGGACTCTCCTCTCTGCAGTGGGCCTCCAGTGACCTTCTTCTTCATTTCAGAGGTAACAGCTACTGAGATGACTGTCCCTATGGCCCCCTCTCATGTCCCCACGGGGCACCACTTCATCCGCAGCACCCAGTACCCTCGGTGTAGTGGCTTTGGGGAATACTCAGCACAGTGAGGAGCTGCATCCGTGGAGAGTTCCCTGCGTTCCTGGTGGATGGAAGGAGTCTTGACCTTTATGAAGTCATACCCCTCTAACGGGCCCTCTAGGTACCAGGAGGGGATGAGGGAAGCAGGCAGGAGAGGCAGCAGGGAGGAAGGGCTTGGGACCCCCTCTTTTATGACTTGGTAGGAACTAGCTGGTCCCTGCTTCCACAAGCCTCAGTGTTCCCACTTGTAAATGGTGGCTTTGCAAACCATGGATTCTGGGGGGCTGCCGTGAGGCGTGGGCAAAGCTGTAGTGTCTGCACTCTGGGGTGGCTGGGATGTGTCATCTTGGGGCAGTGCCCCTCCCTTGCTCAGGGATGGGACCAGCCTAGGGTGTCTGTTGTGGTGTCTCCCTAAGCTGCCTTCTACACCCAACCAAACATGGAGGGCTAGGGTCCACCTGGCCTACCACACTCCAGGTCCAGGTCATCCCTCAGAACACAGGATCTGGGTCCTCCCCTCCCCGCTCTCCAACCTGCAGATGGAGTGGGAGCTGCTCACACAGACCCTCCTTCACACCCAAGAGTGCAGGCCAGAGTGGATCTCCATGCTGATCACTGTTCTCCTTGACTTGAACTTCTGGGCAGGTGAGTTGCTCCAGCCCCACTCCAGGCCTCTGCTTTCAACATCCAAGGCTGGGCAAGGAGGTACCCAGAGCAGGGCCTCCTGGGGGCCTGCTGTGCAGAGCACAGATCCAGAACGGTGGCACCCCAAGACCTAGGATCTCCGCAGGGGTCCAGCACCTTGGGCTGTGTGTCAGGGCAGCCAAACTGAGCTTCAGTGTTGTCATCTGCAAAGCAGGGACTGCGTGGTTCTGTTCTTATGAGCCTGGCAGTTCATGTAACTGGCTGAGTCAAACCTCAGACTCCACACACTGCTGCGAGGATGGTTTTCTACCTTTATTTGGTGGTACCAAAGGCAGCTTTCTTGTACAAGAGGACCAGCCAACAGCTGGGCCCTGGGTGGGTGGAGCCCTGTGGAAGGACGGCCACGTCAGTGGTATGTGGTGGGCCTGGGCCTTCGGCATCCTCTGGGCCTCACCTGGCTGCCTGGGCTGGCCTCCTCACCACGTGCAGCTTCGTACCTGGACAGTGAGCAGCTCAGCAGGGGCCACCCACCCTCAACAGCCAGCCCAAGCCTGCTGCCACGAGGCAGGGGCTGGGAGAGGGTGGGACTGCAGCATGGGTTCCTCTGTCACCAGCCACTAAGGAAGGGCCTCCCAGGGGGCCAACTAAGCAGCCAGGTTGTTGGGGCCTCCAGTTCTCAGCCAGGTCTTAGTGGTGGTGGGGTGGCAAGGGAGGGAGGAGCAGCCATGATTCTGATGGAGGCTGACCTGTGTCCCCAGTTAAATCTTCTTGTCCCCCAAGGCCCCAGGCAGCATGGCCCAGCCATACCTAGATCTGCTCCGTCATAAGGAGGAGAGAATGGGGTAACAACACCCCCAAAGCAGCCTTAATACCAAGAGAGGGGAAGAGGCCCCAGCTGGGGTGTGGGAGCAGGGGGGGGGGGCTTGGGCTGCGGGTGCCAGGCCCTCGCTCATAAGGCAAACAGCATGTCGTCGTCCTTCTCCTGGGTCTTCCTCCGAGGGGCTGCACCAGGACGGGGGCACGGGGGCCTCTCAGTTGAGGGACTGGCCAGGTTGGGCAGCCGGTCAGCGGCTTTGGCGCGTTCTTCCAGGAACTTGTCAAATTCTGAGGGAGGAGAGGGAGGGTGGGTGGGGCACGCAGAGCTGGGGGAGTGGTAGGGGCCAGGTGGGACTGTACTACCTTCACTGGTGACGCCTGTGGGCTCTTCTGCATCGTTCCCCTGAGAGTGTAGAAAGAAAGGCGCGGAGGTTAGTAGCTATGGAGCACTGACCAGTCTATCTTGCAGTCCAAGAGGTAGCCAGGACCTAGGCCTTGACTCATCCTTCTTTGAGCTGCAAGACCTGGGGTGTTTCCGGATCCTTTAGAATGGGGACACTCATGGTTCAAAGCCAGACTGGACAGAAAAGCCTAGGAGACTTTCCTTCAGTTAACTAGCAAACTGCTGGACTGGAGACATGACTCAGCTGATAGAGACCCAGATGTGACAAAGCAAGTAGAGCGAGTGCAAGGACCATCCTAAGTTCAAACCTCAGTATTGGGACAAAGGCAACAACAACAAAATTTAAAAAATGAAATGAGTCTCAGGCTAACTTGGTGATTGTTGGAAGCTAAAATGAGTCTCCAGACTGGCATTTGCCAGGGCAAAGGGGCCAGTGACCTCCAGTGGACAATTCCATTCTACTCAAGAGTCAGAGGGGTAGACCATCTGGCTCCTTGGAGGAAAAGCTGACGCCCACGGAGGCCTGGAGCTCCCCCAAGCTAAAGCTGAGGAGCAGGGCTGGGGTGAGGCATCTGACCCCAGAAAGGTCCAGCTTCTGGGCCCGGCCTAGAGGAATGCAGCCTTGGGGCCCAGCAGGCCCCGCCTCCTTTGTTCCTGGTACCTGGGTGGGAAGGTGAGGGTGGAGGAGCCCTCAGCAGCAAAGCTGAGTCTGACCCCCACCTCCTCTGCCCCCTGGGGTCAGCAGTGGGGGTTCTGGAGGCCCTCTTTGGGCGCTTCCCTGTTCTGGGACGTAGCTGGGGCAGTGCTGAGCCTGGGAGGGGTTGGGGACATTGACATATGTCCCTTCTCAGCAGCTGTTCACCTGGCTCAGGGGACTGTACCATTCTACTCTGGCCTTGTGGCCACTCATTCTCCATGGTAAGAATGGGATGCCCAGGTGGGGAAGGGGAAAGCTGGAACGTACCACATCCGTGGACAGCCACTGCTCAATGTCCTCCATGATTCGAGCCTGGGTGGCAGGGGTCTGGAAGGCAAGGGGCAGGGCAGTCAAGGGTAGAAGCCCCCAGCTGGGCAGCCTGGGGCAGCTGCCACCCCTGGACTTGGGCATCATTTTCTTTGCTCAGATGGCTGTGTCCTGCTGGGTTGGAGATCCTTGCATTTCCACCGTTCTCTTCACTGTGCCAGCCTTTGGGTGAGTGTGTGTGCGTGTAGGCAGGGCCAGGAGACTGGGCAGGAGCGAGGTTCATTGCAACCAGAGCAAGGCCAAGCATCGAAGGGGGCCCTTTACTTTCAAAGGTGGGCTGCCCAGTTCTGACATATCAAGGGGCCAACAGGTGGGGAGGCCATATGTGGTCATGCGTGTGTATGTGCACATGCGTGTACATGCATGCACAGGTGTGGCAGCAGGGTGAGCAATGAAAGCAGCAGCATGCGGTGCCTTGCTTGGGTGGGGAGGGGAGGGGAACCTCAGCCCAGGGGTCCAGAGCACAGTGAACAAGCGTCCTGGCATTTCACATAGGCTCCCCGAGGGTGGCCTGAGAAATTTAGGGAGACAGAGAAGCGGCCATCAGTTTGGCGTCTGCCAGGGGCTCTGATGGGCTGCAGGTTCCAGAAACACCAGTGTGTCTGGTGCCCTCATATTTGTTGATGGCAAAGAGGAAGTTTGTGAGCCAGTGGGTCAGTCAGTGGTGCAGGGGCCTCCAGTTCTGGTGTCCACTGCACCATGTGTAACCACTGTACTACCCTGTACAGACGAACATGGGGGCCTGGCACACCATCACACCTGAGGGCGTGAAGAGGGAAAACCCGCTGTGTGGTGAGCAATGCCACCGGCTGCAGAAGTCATGAATTCTGCATGGAATCCCGGACAGATGTGGTGGTCCACAGAGCTGGCCCGATTTCATTTTGTACTTTCTACTTGGCATCATGTTCTGATGGTTAGAGGGACAGCCTTGCTTGCCAGCCAGACCTAAGGCCCTTGTGAGCAAGTGTTTGCTGGTTCTTCAGAAAATGCCTCTGTGCAGGAGGAAGCAGTGACTATTGGGGGTGGGGGCGAATGTGTGATCATCTGTCAGTTTCCCCTTTTCTGCAGGTGGAGCTGCGGGTGGACTTCCCACGGTGGGCTACTGCAGGAGCTGAGGGAGTCAGAAGACCCAGCACTAGTCCTGCTCCTGGGTTGCCCTGTGCGTGGAGAGGCAGCTGTAGGCTGTGTGGCGACGTATGTGAAGATGAAGATGTGAAGGGTCTGGCCTAGGGCTGGACACAGCATGGGCTCAAGAAGTGATTGCTTCTGAGGGTGAGAGGAGGCCTAGAGGCCCAGCTCATGGGAAACCAAGAGATGCAGGGGTGGGGATGGAGAGCTCCTGGAAGTTACCACATTCTACCCTGGAAAGCTGGGCGGCGTCCCCAGCTTCCTTGGCACTTTCTTAGCTTCCTTCTGGAGCCTTTTAAACGAGAAGTCACATAGATGACCTCCCACACTCGAGCCTTTCCAGTGGCTTCTACCTCACCTAGGCAGAAGCCATAGTCCTCTCGGCCTCCCTGAGGTCTCTGGATCCCTGCCACCTCGCACATGTCCTCCCCCCCACCCCCCAGCCCTGGCCTGTGAGTCAATCTCCCACCCCCTGCCTCTCCAGCACCTTCCAGTCAGTTCCTCCCACAGAGCTGCTCTGCTCACTGAGGTGGCGGTCCTCACACCGCCAGGTGCATGCTCAAAGGGAAAAGGATTGTGCTTGCACTCTTGCCAAGGTGGAGCGTGGCCACGGGGTGCCTGGTGATGGCACGTGGCTGCCACTCAACCAGAGCGGGGCCAGCGAGCACATGGCTAGAAGCGTGCCGGGGAGTCCGGCATAATGCGTGAGGCCCCTCCCTGCCCTCCGCCCGTGCTCTTGCAGCTGACAGGTCTCGAGCGCAGTGAGGGGCAGCGACCAGGCTGGGCACTGCCTGTGACTGAGTCACATGTGCCAGATGTGCATGATCCCACCCAGCCCACTGTACACATGATGGCTGCCAGGTGGAGAGGAAGAACCATAGTTGGAAGGATGGATAAACTGCCTGAGGACCCGCAGCTGGCATGCAATGGCAAGGGCTGCAGGATGCCAGCTTCCTAATGTGGGCTTGGGCTGACGCTGGCTGGCTAAGCAGGGGCCACTGACAACCTCTCCAGCCGTCTCCTTAGCTGTCAATTTGGAATTGATGCATTAGCCACAAAGGGCCAACGTACAAAGGCCCAGCCTTTTACATTTGTATGTGCAGGCCCCCAGCGATGGGTAGGTCTTCCCTCCTTTCTTTCTGGAAGATCTGGGTGAACCTGGGCTCCTCTGCTTACCGCACTGGTGCTCTGTTGCCGGGCATCCAGGGCTCCAGCCAGGCCATCTGTGGCTTGGGGGGCTTCATATTTCACCCTGAAACAGACAGCCGTGGCATCAGATGCTGCTTAGCCTCAGCAGACCACCTGCCAGGGAATGTGAGGATTGGGGGGACTGTGTAGGCTTGGTGGGGCCCAGGCAGAGAGGGCACCGGCTGGGGTCCCAACTCTCCTGGGAATGGAAGCAAGGCTCCCGTTCTGCCTCAGGGAGTTAGGCGTGGGCATGCAATCTGTGTGACAGGCATCAGCAAAAGCTAGGGATTTAGGGAGGGTGTCTGGCCCAAGGTCAGGAACAAGATCTGATGACTGTGACCACAGCTGGGGGGCTGGGCAGTAGGGCTTTTGAAAGCTTGTCCCTGAGAACAGACAGCGCGTGGGAAGGCTAGAGCCCTGCCTCGGTGCACAGGGTACACAACAGGGGCCACAGGGACTCTCCTCTGGAAACTGCAAGTGGCTTCAGCATGGAAGTGAGGTGAAAGTCCCCAAGGACTTGCCACCCCTGGGAGTGGGTATGGGCTGTAGGGTGCTGGGGCAGTGGTGGCCGAGTGGGGAGATGGACATACTGTGTTTTGTATTCACACCGCCCTGAATTCTGAACTGTCCAATGCTAGCTGCCTGGCCCAGGGGTACGGGCAGGGCCTCCAGTGCGCATAGCTCGTGACATGCTGTTACCACTGGCTTGCAGGATCCCTGTCCCCTCCCTGCCTGTGGAGTGTCCAGTTGGTACCCTGACCACAGGGCTCTCCTGGCCACGCTGGGCTGATTAGGGCACGTGTGCCTTTCCCCCTGGTGTGCCCACCAGCAAGCCAGGTGCAAGCGTCCTGGAAGGGGCTCTCTCCCCAATGGAAAGCCAGCACCTGCAGGGACCAGGTCACTCACCCTTTCCGTTGGTCAGCCAGAGAGCTGCCCCGGGTCAGTGCAAACATGTCAAACTCATCTTCCAGGCGGCCGGAAGCTTCTAGAGACTGCAGACCAGCCCTTACACTGCTGGAGCCCAGGTCTGCAGGGACAGAAAGGCCATGCGCGGGATCCTCCCACTGCCTGCGAGCAGTAGACAGACCCTTTCATGGTTGTGGTGAAGATGCTCCCATTCTATCTGCTAGGGGAAGTCACTGAGCCGTTAGGACAGAGAACTTTGAGACTCAGTAACTCAAAGTGGGATCTGAGTGATTTCCTAAGGCTGCATGAAATAGGGAGTCATTGATATTAAAAACCAATTCCAGTGACAATGATAACTGCTAACATTTATCAAGAGTGCAGCTGGATGTGGTTGTGCATGCTTGTAATCCCAGAACTTGAGAAAGCAAGGCAGAATTGTGGGTTCTAGACCAGCCTGGTCTACACAGAGAGACCTCATCTCAAAACTTACTACCTCTTTCCCCACCCAAATGCACCAAAGAAGCTGGAGAAGTAGTTCAGGGATAGAGTGCTTACCTATCACAGACAGGCCCTGAGCAGGTGCAATCCCTACATCCATCCCCTGCCCTAGCTAGCCCTAATCTCAGCTTGTTCAATGCTCCTGACCCAGGCGTGCTCAGGAGGGCCCATTCCTACCCGTTACTGAAGAGCAGAGCAGCACAGTAAGTTTCAGTGACGTACCCAAACCTACCCAGGTGATCTGAGTCATGGAGAATCCGTGGTGAGGGACAGTGGGATTTGTGGGGTTGCAGGGCTCAGCACCTGTGCGATCCCCATGGGTAGAGCCAACACTTACTTTCTTCTAGTGCCTAACCCTTAGACAGGATTCAGCTTGGGACCTCGTTGAGGTGGGGTCTGCTGCTGGTGAGGAATGGGACACACCCCTGCGAGGGTGGAGCTGCCTGAGCACTGGAAGGCGCCATCAGCGGAGCCCCACTTACTCATTCCTGCCAGCTGGGATGAGAGGCTGCCTGCGGTTGCAGAGTCAGGGCCCATGTCGATGAGGTCGGCTGCTGGCTCGGTCTCACGTGCAGCCTAGGAGAAGGGAGATGCCCTGCTGCAGCCCCCTTCCTTTTTTTCCAGAAGCACTGAGGCCCGTGTGCTCTGCCCTAGGATCTGTCTCCAGGGCCCATGCAGTCTGACTGGGAGTTAGGGAGTTGCTCCCTGGCCACTTTGGACCCAGCTCAGCCACAGCCTTGGGAGGCTGGGAAGTCCCCTGAGGCACTAGCCAGTAGCACACCTGTTTCCCTTAAAGGAGCAGTGGCATAAGGAGTCAGAAGGAGACTTCCCTGGAGCCTGGGTGGGAAGAAGCACTACCACATGCAGGGCATCGGGGAGTGGGTAAGAACAGCACCACTGCTTCTCATCAGCACTGAGTCAGACTGCCCCTTACCTTGGCAGTCTGGCCTGTTCGGAACCGTTCAAACCTACAAGACAAAAGACCCCAGTCAAAGGGACAGTGAGGCAGGTCCCCAGGTCCAGCCCCGCGTCAGAGCTTTTCAAATGGCTGGTCTCAAGGATCAATGCAGGGGGTCACCATGAGGGTGACAGGACATCTAGTGTACACCCGTGTCCCACAGGATTGTTAGCAGTGCCCTCTTCATGTGCAGAAGGGTTTCAATCCAAATGACCTACGTGATCAGTTATACAGTCATCTTAGTCACAACTAGGACGAAACGAACAGTAACTTAACGGAGGAGAAGCAGGAAGGGACAACACACAAGCAAGGAACAAACAGGTGTCCTCCGCTACAGACTTCCACACTTGGTGGTGTGGTGGCTCTCCAAGGCGCTGTAGGACAGGTCTCCTGCCTGATGGAGCCACTTCAGGTCTGAGGAGGTAGGTGCAGAGGAGCTGAGGGCTGGGCCTTGGTAAATGTCATCCATCACTTCTATTTTTTTGTTTTGTGCCATGACTGGGGCTTAAGCAAGGCCCTGGCCTTGTACTCTCACTTGACATTTTTGCTCAAGGCTGGTGCTATACCACTAGAGTCACAGCTCTCTAGTGCCTGAGTAGCAGTGGCTGGGACCCAGAAAGCACTGGCAAATAGGGGTCCTGATGAATGGTTGTTGGGGGGACCTACTGGGCAAACAAGCAGGAGAGGCCAGGAAGATGTGACTGGCGGGGTTCCATCCCAATCTCAACTGACTGCAAGTCACCGGGCCAGTGTCTATTCATGAGTAAAGACACAAGAAAGGCTCCGAGGGCTCGAGGGGGCTGGCAAAACTAGCACTGCTTACCAGGGGTACACTGAGCACTCTATAGGCTTTGCTTCCGTGACTTCTACTGGACCAGCTCAGGGAGTGTGGCAGAGCCTGTGCAGCCCAGCCCTCCCTGGTAACAGCACCTGAGTACGCCTCCCGGTTCACACCGTCCTGGTGGCGCAGTAATGCAGGGCACAGCAGAACTAAGCCATCAGTCTCTGCTGGGGCCCTGACGCTTGCCCAGGAAGACAAGCCAGACAAGTGTCTAGGGCTGATCCACTTGAGGGCAGTGCCCTGGGGACATAGTCCTGAGGCCTTGCTCTGCTTGTCCCCCTCTTCTTTCGGTTCTGAAAGCTACCTGTTTATTGTTACTACTACTACTACTACTACTATTATTAGCTTATGTGGTACTGAGGAATTGAACCCAGGGCCTAAGCATGCTAGGCAAGCACTCTACCACTAAGCCACATTCCTAGCCCAACTACCTGTTCATTAATAAAGGCTATTCTTCTAGTAAATTCTCTCCTGCTTAACTTGGGCAGGAAGAGCTTATGTAGCTTGCAGTCAGAAAGCTCTTCGCCAGGCACTGGTGGTTCATACTTGTAATCTACCTACTCAGAAGGCTGAGATTTGAGGATCACAGTTCAAAACCAGTGTGGGCAGGAAAGTCTGTGAGATTCTTATCTCCAATTAACCAGTAAAATGCTAGACGTAGAGCTAGCCTCCACTGAAGTAGTAGAGTGCTAGCCTTGAGTGAAAATCTAAGGGACAACAACTAAGCCCTGAATTCAAGCCTCAAGTCCCACACTAAGTAAATACCAAAATAAATGAATTTGCCCAGGACCAAGTGCAGGTAGAGAGCTAACTCCAGGGAGGGCTGAAGAGGGCAGAATCGGGTCACAGGAGTGCTTGAAGAAGATGGTTCAAGCCATGTGCCTGGTGGCCTGTCGTGTGCTTGAGAGGGAGATGAGGGAAAGCTACGCTGGGAGGAGCCAGAGGGACAGGGACATGGGAGTGGAGGGCTACCGTTCGTGGCGCAGAAACACGTTGTTGAGGTTGTCGTTAACCATGAGCAGCTCCTCTGTCAGCTGTTCGTTGGAGATGCGTGGGATGAGCTCCAGGACCCGCTGCTGCATGGCTCGGCATGTGCGGTTCAGCTCCTGCAGGGGGGAAGGGAGATGCTGGTCACACGGCCTAGCAAGGCTGTCCTTACTGAGGGGCTTGAGCCGAGGCCTGCTCTGGAGGAGGGCCAGTTTCTAAACTGGCCTTTGGGAGTCTACGGAATGGCTCTGCGGGTTTTACAAACATTTGAATTTCACTTCCCAGTGGTTTACATAGAATTAAAGGACTCAGTTAATTTGAGGTGGTGTTCCATTAGGTTGTCCAGGCTGGCTTTAAGCCAGGATGTCCTGTCTCAGCTTCCCAAGTAGCTGAGATATGTGGCACTGCACCTGGCTCTATGCTAATTTGTTGTTGTTGTTGGTCGTGGGGCCTGAACTCTGGGCCTGGGCGCTGTCCCTCAGCTCTTCAGCTCAAGGCTAGCGCTCTTACCACTTGAGCCACAGCGCCATTTTCCTTTCTGGGCTGGTTTTGACCCACAATCTTCAGATCTCAGCCTCCTGAGTAGCTAGGATCACAGATGTGAGCCACCAGTGCCCGGCTGATTTCTTTCTTTTAATAAACTTGTTATTTTGGAATGATTTTAGACTGGCAGAAAAGGTGCAATGACAACATACAGAGAGTTTCCATGTACTCTTCACCTAGGCTAAGACAATAACACAGGCAAAATACTATTAGCCAAACTATGCGCACTTTATTCAGTTCCACCTGTTTTTCCACTACTGTATTTTTTCTGTTCCAGATTCCTACCCTGCCTTTAGTTACCTTTGATCATATTTAAAGTTGTCTGGGAAAAAGAGGAAGAAATTGGAAGCCACAGTCTTAGACTGATCCTGGTAAACCTGGCTATTTCTTTCCTCAGGCACCTGCTGCTGGGTGAACAGGTGCCGGGTCACGGCTGCTGGCCTGGCTGACTACTGCCATACACTAGTGCACTTCGCTCCTGGAGAGATCATCAAGTCTAGGCTAGGCTCCAGTGTTTGTTTTGACTAACTGTGGACCCTGCTGACCTTCCCCTCTCTAGGCCTTTGGGGTTTCTCCATCTGCTACAGTCCCAGGGCAGGGCAGGGCAGCTCAGGATGGCTTTCAACATCCTGGGGCCTCCCCTTTTCTTCCCATGACCACTCTGTTTCCGCTTTCATGCTGGCCACTCACAAGAGCAGAAGGACATGTTGAAGCTAGTTCCCGTGGATTAAGTCCAGCTCTGGCTATTTGCCAGCCACATGACCCAAGATTACTTGTAATATTGCTTCACTTTGCCTCAGCTTTCTGACCTGAGAATGGGCATGATAAAAGGTTCTACTGAGGGGCTGGGAAGGTGGCTCAGTGGTAGAGCGCTTGCCTTGCATGCATGAGGCTCTGGGTTCGAGTCCTCAGCACCCCATAAGCAAAAAGAAAAAAGCCGGAAGTGGCGCTGTGGCTCAAGTGGTAGAGTGCTAGCCTTGAGCTGAAGAGCTGAGGGACAGCGCCCAGGCCCAGAGTTCAGGCCCCACAATTGGACCAAAAAGAAAAAGAAAAAAAAGGTTCTACTGAATGTGCATCACATATGTAGAGAGAGCCTGGCACCTGGGGAGTACCCATCACCTGGGAGCTGTTACCGTGCCAACTCTGCCAGCTGGCTCCAGTCTCCGAGTCCCCCCAGACCACCCACCCTGCATGGCTTTGGCTAGGGACAGGAAATGAACTGCACAGTAGCAATTCAGATTTACCACCTTTTCTAATCCTCAAATGCATGAGTCCTTCAACCTGACATTCCTGCTTTACTCCCCACCTCCACCCCTCCCGTGTAGGCACCCCTGAGCTAGTCAGCTTGTTAGTCATAATGACATGGAGACCTGCCCTTGAGGTCTCAGGCCTGGTGGGAGGGCAACACAAAACCCGAAGAACACACTGAGCACTCCGCCCCTCAGGGCTTCTGGTGACTCTGGGCCTTGGTTGGGGGGTGGTTTCTAGTTTTCTCCATGTCTCTCCTATGTAGTGTCCTCCAAACACAGCCTTTTCTGCTCTAATGGCTCTTCAACTCAGGACAGGATCATGGGAATAACATGACACACAGAAATGAAAACCAATAGTTCCCACCTGCCTTACCTAGCTATTTGCTTATCTTTTTTTTTTTTTTTTTTTTTAGTCAGTCGTGGGGTTGTTGGGCTTGGGCGCTAACCCTGCACTCTTCAGCAAAAGGTCAGCACTCTACCGCTTGAGCCACAACACCACTTCTGGTTTTCTAGTGGTTTATTGGAGATAAGAGTCTCACAGACTTTTCTGCCCAGGCTGGCTTTGAACCGTGATCCTCAGATCTCAGCCTCCTCAGTAGCTAGGATTACAGGCATGAGCCACCGAGCCACCAGCGCCCAGCCTATTTGCTTATCTTAAAACTCACTCTGTGCTGGGTACTGGTGGCTCACACCTATAATCTTAGCAACTCAGGAGACAGATCTGAGGATTGCAGTTAAATGTCAGCATAGAAAGACAGATCTCTGAGATTCTTATCTTCAGTTAACCAGCAAAATCCAAAACTGGGGTGCTGGCCTTGAGCATAAAAGCCGAGTAAGGGTATGAGGCCCTAAATTCAAGTTCTAGTACCAGCATAAAACAAGGAAACAAAATAGGACAAAACGAAAGAGACACCCCACACCGCTCCATCCTTCCTGCTGCCCACGTGCAGGTTTTAAGGGGTGGAAGTCCCATGTCCAGAATTCATACACACGAGGAAATTGGAGCAGGAGGTACTATTTTGTTCAAGCCAGCAAGTAGTATAGCTGAGATCTGAATTCTAATCAATTTGAAACAGTCCAAAGTCCCTGTTTACAATGCCTTCCACTGCTCCAGGAATTCCAAGTGAGCCCTGAAGATTGCCCTGTGGGCTGGGGAGAATTTGTATGTGGCAGATAGGGAGGGCGCAGCAGGGCCTGACGGGAAGCTTTTGGCTCACCTGTAGCAGCTCCAGGTCTGAGGGCTCGGCCTGGGTGGGCACCAGCTCCGTCAGCATCTCCGACATCACCCTCACATTCCCGTTCACCATCTCCAGCTCACTGCGCAGCTTCCCGATCTGAAACACCACGGTGGGGAGAGAGAAGCTGGGATCTGGAGCCCCTGCTGCTCCCAAGAACAGAGCCTGGACCGATGGTCAGGTAGAGCCCCCAGGAGCCTCCTCACCAGCACCCTCTCCGAGCAGCCTCCCTCCCAGCTCCCAGGCACAGCGTGTGCTCCATCAGAAGCCAGCACTGGGCTTGCCATGCCCCACCACCCTTCACAGAAGCTCTACCAACCATGGCCATCTCCACACCAGGAGCTGGATGCAGGAAGAAGCTAAAAAGAGTGTGACAAGCTGAGGGGAATGAGCCACTGAGGGTGGCTCCTGCTAAGGTGGCAGTTAATGAGGCCCTGGGGGTGAAGGGTCCTCTGAGGGAAGAAGGCGGCTGCAGGCGCCTGGTCTCCCTCTCTCTCTCTCTCTCTCCTAGGAGGACTGAGATTCGGTTTTACTTCTGGTTTTTTTTTTTAGTGTCTCAGGCTCACCCAAGGAGGGTCCTAAGGCTGCCACCAACTCTGAGCAGGAAAGATTCCCTTGCTCCAATGGTCAAGAGCCGCTCAAGTCCTAGGCCTGGGGAAATATTGCCCATGAAGCTGCAGTGTCCTCAGAGGTGAGCGTGAAGAGGCCACTGTGTGGTGTCTATGGGGTGAGCGCTGTGGGCACTTACTATCCTCACAGATGCTGGGCACCCCACGCATGACCAGGACGGCACCAAGAGGGGGTTCCCAACATTTTGGCCAGGTTGTTCCCTTAAGAACATTTCTTATCAAGTCAGCTCATGGGTCTAGCAGCCAGAGAACTATATTTTGAGAAATGCGAGTATATTCTACATTGTGTGATGAAGTTATAATTGATTTCAGAATATTATTATCAACACTATGCAAAAGCATGATTGTGATCTATAGACTTTGTTTTGGTGCCAGTCCTGGGGCTTGAACTCAAGGCCAAGGTGCTGGCTGAGTGCTTTTCTTCAAGGCTAGTGCTCTACCACCTGAGCTACTGTGCCACTTCTGGTTTTTGAGTGGTTAATTGGATTAATAATCACATGGGGACTTTTCTGCCACGGCTGGCTTTGAACCATGATCCTCAGATCTCAGCCTCCTAAGTAGCTAGGATTACAGGCACACATGTGTGCACAGGTATCCTCATGTGCCGGGCTCCATCCAGCCTAGCTACATGTTGAAGTCGACAGTGACAGTATCAAGCTTCTGGCATGGCCATGGATGTGCCTCAGAAGGCAGAGTGGCTTGGTATGCCACAAACAACTCAGAGCCACCAGACCAGCTGTCACTCCTCCAGCTGCAGGAGGAAACTGAGACTCAGAGAAAGCTTCAGCATGCTGGTTGGACCGAAGTAGGCAACCCTGCAGAGCTTGCTATGGGGCAGAGAAACTAGACTCTTATGCTGAGTCTCAAAGCTTTATGGGGCTTTGTGGGAAGCACCCAGGGGCAGTCCATGTGCTATTATTTGTATAAATGTTTTACAACTGTTCCTGGTCAGAACCCCAGTTCAAGTGAAACAGCATGTTATGCAAAGTGGGAGGGAGCGCCTGGCGGGCACTTCCTCTTCATGGTGCTGCCCAGAGGACTCCACGAAGACCTGCTCAAGTCAGATGAAGTACAGGACAGTCACACAGACTTGAGCTTGAATCTCAGCAGACTCAGACGATCTGTGTGACTCTGGCTGAATGAAGGTACCCCTCTGAGCCTCACTCTAGGGTGCTGGGATGATGAAGGGCAACTCTACACACAGTCGTGTCCGTACTGCCAAGGGCCCCTTCCCAGCCCAGACTTCTGCCCAGGCCTGTCTGTACCTGCTCGGGGGTTGGTGTGATGGGTGTATCGTTAGGAAGTATGGCCGGGGCAGGCGGAGGGGCAGTATGCTGGTTCAAGTCTCCTCGCTGGCTGGTGTCAGATCCCACGGAGTTCTGTCCTGATGGTGTCTCTGATGTGAACACGGTCTAGGGCAAAAGACAGCCGATATGGTCTTGTGGGAGGGGCCGCAGGCTGGCTTGCCCTCCACCCCCCCACCCCCCGCTTGCTAGTGGTCTATCCCTCACCCTTTGAGGGGTGTGGATGGGCGACAGCATGTCCAGGTCAGTCATGGGGAACTCCAGGCCCTTCCTCCGCAGGTCCTCGTAGACGGCAACGACACCTGTCAAATCGGGCGAGCTGCGGAACGCGTCAGCCCAGGACTGAGAGGGACAAGGGGACATGGCCGGTAACCGCTGCTCACCTTCTTCCCTGGGAGCCCACCCCATCCCAGCACTCTCTCTCTGGGAGCAGAAATTCGTCCCGACCTCTTGCTCCTTGTTTTACATGCACAAGCCTTACTGCACATGTATGGTGACCATCTGGCCACTGGTCACCCCAAAGGGAAATCCAGCTCAGGCACAGCCCCGGGGAGGAAGCAGTACCTGCACCGCCCTCCCGCCCCCCTCACCCCAGCACGAACCTGGATGAGATTCAGCACCTTGTCGTGCACGATGGTGGGGGGGTTGTTCTTGGGCAGGATGGTCCTCACGAGCACGCCCTCCACGAAGTCCTGGCTGGCCACCAGCACGTGGAAGCGGTGCCCGCAGTTCTTCACACACGTTTCCAAAACCTGGAGGGCAAGAGGTGCGTGAGAACAGCCTTGGCAGAGGACAGGAAGTGTGCAGCCACGTGGCGGCCCAGCAGAGGGCAGGGACTTCCCCAGACAGCCCCTGGAGGAGGAGGGCAGGAATCCTGGGTTTGGCGACTGCTACCAGGTGAGAAGTGGTGAGTCGGCCAGAACTTTCTCCCCCAGGGTCGCTGGCACTGGGTCCTGACTGGCCTGGTGCGAGGCGTGGCGGCTCCCCAGTGGAAGTCAAAGACAGCCTGAGCTTTCTACTAGTCCATGTTGAAGTTGAAGACTGGCCCCTGTGTTCCCTCCCACTGCCAGCCTGCAGGAGTTCCCTTGCTTTCCAGTCCCAACTGGACCTACTGCTGTGGGAAGGCTCCTCATTCCCAGCCCAAGGTCCTGAGGTCAGCATGCCCACCAGCCTGGCCTGCTCACAGGGCTGGCTTCAGTGTTTTTTGTTATTTTTTTTTGGTCAGTCATGGGGCTTGAACTCTGGGCTTGGGTGCTGTCTCTACGCTCTTCAGCTCAAGGTGAGCGCTCTACTGCTTGAGCCACAGTGCCACTTCTGGTTTTCGAGTGGTTTATTGGAGATAAGAGTTTCACAGACTTTCCTGCCCGGGCTGGCTTTGAACTGTGATCCTCGGATCTCAGCTTCCTGAGTAGCTAGGATTACAGGCATGAGCCACCGGCACCCGGCTCTGGCTTCAGTGTTAACTGCAGTGAGTACTGTTAAAATGTCAAAGTGCTAGGTAGTTCGCAGTTTCCCTGTGCACAGGCCACATCCCCATTTGGCCTGAGTTTACTGAGCCTTTGTCACCTGGCAGGCTCTTTAGCCGGGGTAACTCACATCAGTAGTTTTGGAGGGAAGTGGCCTCAGCCATCCACTCCCTATACAGGGGGTGGGGAGGACTTTCCTGGACAACTTCTCTCTCTTTTTTTTGCCAGTTGTGGGGTTTGAACTTGGGGCCTGGGCACTGTCCCTCAACTCTTCAGCTCAAGGCAAGTGCTCTACGCCTCCAGTCACAGCGCCACTTCCGGTTTTCGAGTGGTCTACCAGTGGTGTGACAGGACAGACTTTACCCATGGCCTTCCTGCCTAGCCCTTGAATGAGGAGCCAAGGGCGGACATGAGTCGCATGTAGCTTTCAGGAGACGGCTTCTGCAACTGGACTGTCTGATAGAGGGATGGAGGGACGGACAGATGGAAGGACAGGCACTTACTGTGAGGGCCAGCATCACCTCGTGGAAGTTCTTATTGCCCACGATTCTCTTCTTCACTGCTCGGAAGGCATCTTTGGGGCTGGGCAGAAGGAAAAAGGCAGACATGAACACTTCTTCCTCAGCATTGGAGAGACAGTATGGCAACTTGGAGGGGGCTGGCCCCCTCCCTGCACAGGCTGTGATCCATGTCCTGCTGCCCCTCCCCAGCCTAGTCAGGAGGGGCCCCTGCTCCAGGCCCACTTTGTTGCTAAAGTATAGGAATCTAAGCCCCCTCCTGGAGCACGCAAGCAAGACTCCTAGGGAGGGGTTTGGGGTCTGCAGCCTTCTCATACCCCAAGGAGCTTCTCTGTCCAAGTGGAGACAAGGCTGAGAACTACTATTGTGCACAGTGGTCTAACAGCCCAGCCTGGCCAGCTAATCTGCCCAGTTATCCATCTCTCCACTCAGGTCTTACCAAGTACCCATGTGGGCACCAGGCTAGAAGCTGGGACAAGAGGCAAACAGACAACAGGCTTTTCCCCAGGGAAGACAGAGGTATTTGAAGGGGAAAAAGCAAGTTCCTAGAGAGGAGTATGTGGGAACAGTGAGCACTTCTGAAGAGGTGGCCTTGTAACCGAGCCCTGAGAGATGGAAAGGACGGGGAGGGGCCAGCAGGGCAGAGCAGCCTGGGCCCATGCCCTGGATGGGAGGAGGGAGCAGGAGGCGCTGTAGAGTGTGGAAGAGAACCAGGACACTCAGGGTCACGGGGGAGGGCAGATGCCTTAGAGTGCAACAACAGGAAGCCTATGGCTGCATGCTCTTCCTCTACCTGTGCTGCACCACCGCCACCAGCCTCAGCTCTGCACAGGTGGCATCAGCGATGCCAGAATGCTCAGGCCCTGCTCCCATCCTCCATGTCGCTAGTAAAAGACCTACTCCTATAGGAAGCTCCCCCAGGGCCTCCAGTCTCTAGGTGTCCTGGTATGGGACGCTAACCCTGGCCACCCTGGTGGAGAAGGGACAATCCTCCGGACCCCTTCTCACAGCAGGGCCTGGAACACTGCAGGAGCTGGTGATACTTGTCTAGGCTGGTGAGTGGCCTTTTGGATCTGTCCTCTCTCTGCCCTGTTGAGGGCTCCATTGGGAAGTACAGGTCTGACCTAGGTCCTGGACAGGAGTACCGGCAGAAGCATGGCCTGGGGAAGCAGGTCCTGCATGGGGTGGCACTGAGGAGGGTCTAGGACTGCAGTGGAGGGGATGGGCAGGCAGCGGGTTGGGGGGGTCTGGTCCAGAAGAAAGAATTATTTCTGCCGGAGCATTCCTGGGGCAGTGCCTCACCCCTCCTGGAGGAAGGACTATGTGTGAAGGCATTGGTCTTCGGGACAGCATTGTTGGGAAGCTATGGAAACTGAATGAGGTGGGCGTAGCGGGAAGTCTTTAGGTCATGGGGATGGTCATGCCCCTCCTCAGCCTTTTCCTTTGCTTATGGTACTAGGGGTGGAACCCAGGGTCTTGCACCTGCTAGGCAAGTACTCCACCACTGAGACGTATCCCCAGACCTCCTCACTCTTCTTTTGCTTCCTGGACATGAGTTGAGCGGTTTGTTCTGTTGTGTACCATTGCTGTGTTGTGCTTGCTTGCCTCTCCACAGGTCCAAAGCAACCTCTGAAATTGTGAGTCAAAATAACCCCTTTTTCCTTTTGAGCCGGTTACCTCGGGTAGTCAGGTGAACCACTTCGGCATTCTACTGGGACTTGTTTCAGATAGTGGAAACAGTGCTGGAAGTGGACTGTGTGCCACTGCTGTCACCTGCTATTCGGCTAGAGCACAGAGTGTATGACAAGCAAGCACAGTGTATGACAATGTGGAGACTCCACTACACACTAAGGTTTAGATAATGAGCTTGGTGGGAGTCAAAGGTCATGCCTGCCTTTGCCCACTGCTGGGTCTCAGATGCCGCGTGCAATGTCTGGAAGATCCAAGGTGGCGTGGAGCCTCAGCATGGCTGAGGATGGTTCTGGTGGGGCCTGGCCACCACTGCCCTCTCCTCGTGGACCCTGTCTTGCTCCAGTGGGGTGTACTTGTCTCCCACCCCTCTGCACACACACAGCCCAAATGGGTAGTGGGGAGCACTCTACACTGGTGGGAGACAGCACAGAGAGGAAAACGGGGTCCTGCTCCAACGGTAGATTCTTTTACCAGAATGGAAGCCTCTGGCTGCATTTCTTCCCAGTTGTGGCCACACTCTCACAGATCCTTCCTGGATTTCCTGAGATAATAGTGACCCTCATGTCCCCTCTCTGCTGCCCTTAGGCACCCAGGCTTTTGCTGAGCTTTGCCTTTTGAGGATGAAGACCTAGAGAGGTAAATGATCTTATCTGAGGGCTCCTCACATGGTTGGTCAGCAAACAACCAGAGGTCAGAAACTTAGACCCAAGGCTTCCCCACACCCAGTGCCCTGGCAGGGTTCCTGGGCACTGGGCAGAACCATGGCTCACATACTGAACTTGCCAGTGGATGCCAGCTCTGATTGGTCCCTCTGCTCTTCTTCCCTGTTACTGCCTTCCACATGCCCTCTTCCTGCCCTGCTGGTATCAAAGCTGAGTGGAAGTGTGCTGTTGCTCACTGAAAAGCTGGCCATCCCTAAAGCACAGTCTCGCCCCCTTGGAGTGCAGAAGAGCAACGGGAGACCACCTCCTCATTATGAGAATTCCAAACTGGCTTTGTCCCCGAGGAGTTGCTGCAGCAAGCTCAGATCCAGGAGGCCTGGGCTGCTGCTGGGGTGGCAGCACAGGGAGGGGCTAGCTGGCCAGCTCTCTACCCCAGGGCTTTAAACTTTATATCCACAAGTGTCTCATCTACTTGATAAAGGGAATGGGCTGATCATGGTCCAAAAAGGTTTAAAATGTTACAGTATGGTGGGGTCAACTTGGTGGCGACAGTAGCGGTGGGCTTGGCTGGAGTTCTGGCTGGAAGCAGGTGAGTCAACACTGCTGTGGGCAGCAATGGCAGACCATCCCCGCCTGTGTTCCTCAAACCTCTCCTCCAAGGGTCCTCACCCTTCCTCGGTTTCGTTGATAATGTCGCAGATCTCCATGTTGAGGGCCCAGTCTTCGCTCTGAAGGGAGCCATCTGTAGCTTTCTCTGAGAAGAAGAAATCATAAATTACATGGGTGTTGGAGTCTCAGTTGGACACAGGAGAGCACAGAGTGTGATGTAATTAGTCTTGACTGTCAACTTGACTAGACTGAGAGACACCCAGTGGATTAGCTAAGCACATCTTTAGGTATTTCCAGAGATGATGTAATGATCATGAGGGCTCTGACCTAATCAGTGGTTTGCTTTGATGGGTTAAAGATGTGAATAGATAGTTGGGAGGTGGAGGAAACTATGGAAGGGGGGACCTAGCTGAAGGAAGGGGTGAGTGGGAGGGGGTGTGTTTCTGAAGGGTGGATTTGCTTCCTGGCCGCCATGAGATGAGTAGACTCTCCCCCTTGTCCCTCCCTTCTGTGATGTTCTGCCTCAGCTTAGGTCAAAGCAATGGATCCAGCAGACAGGCTGAAACCTCTGAAACATGAGCCCAAACAAATCTTTCCTCCTTCAAGTGATTTCTCTCTGGCATTTCTTACAGCAATGAAAAGTCTGACACACTAAGAGGTAGGGTGCAGGGCAGGAAGACAGAGGGCAGAAGACAGTGGATGCTTTCTGGGAACCCAAGACAGGCCAGTTTTACCAAAATAATTGAATTTGTTCTTGGGCTCTCTACTTGCCATGGGAGGCTGAATGGAACCCTGTCATTGCACAAATGAGAAAACCTTGGCTTAGAGTTCCACGAGTGGATGATTAGGACAAGAACTGGGACCGGCTTAGCCTCGGGGGGCTTGTTTTTCACATGGTGTCAGAGGTAGCATTTAAAAAAATTTTTTATAAGATCACAACATATATAAAATCACATCTTGAAAAAAATATATATAATCTTCAGAGACAGGATCTCACTTTGTAACTCAGGCTGGCCTTGAACTCTCAATCCTGCCTCAGCATCAGTCCTTCTGCCACACTCATTTTATGTTTTGAGTTGGTAACATTCACATGGTCCAAAATGTAAATCATGCTAAGCTGGAATGCAATGAAGAGTACATTGTGCCACTCCCCAGCCGGTGCACCGTAAAACAGTTTTCTCCATCATCTCCCAGAGACATGCCATACCTAGGGAACAAAGACTACTCCCAACGGATCACCTGGACTCCTGTCTCTCTCTCTCTCTCTTTTTTTTTTTAATTGTAAAAATACTGTACAGAGGGGTTACAATTACATGGGCAAGATAATGAGTACATTTCTTATCAAGCATTGTAGCCTCCTCCTTTGTTTCCCTTTCCTATCCCTTCCCATCCTCCTCCCACCCCCCCCACCCAATCCTCCCTGCCCCCCACCCCACTAAAGTTGTAAAGTTCATTTCCGATATAACGACTTGTACATCTCATTGTTTCAGTGGGTCCACCTGTATCCCTATTATACTGATTTGTTTTTCCCCTTCCCCTCCACAAATTATACCGACATCAAATACAGTGAAAGCAGGGTTATACTGTGGGGGAGGGCTCCTGTCTCTTTTTGAGCCATGGTTTCTGTCTACAGACTGGCAATGACTGCTGGTGACTCCCCTTTTAGTTGATGTGAAAATCACACCACCTAAAATGAGCCGCCGTCTTAAAGCTACAGTTCAGTGGTGCTTGGTAGTCACAATGCCGTGGCACCACCACTACTTCTGTCTGTCTCTACTACACTCATGCTGGGATGATTCTTGGCTGAGAGTTGCACATGAGGAGTCTCAGGGCCCCTCAAAGCCAAGGGCAGCAGGGCATGATGGCACACACTGTGATTCCACCACTCAGGAGGCAAAAGCAGGGAGGACTAAGAGTTCAAGGCTAGACTGGGCAACACAATGTGTTTGAAGTCAGGTAGATAGCTAAATCCAGGATCTTTGTTGAGATATGGTTAAGGTGCCATGCTGGCACCTTACCTCTGTGAGCTCCAGTATGAGGCACTGAAAAGTGCTGGCGAGTGACAAATGCAGGAATGGACTGTGCTAGAAAGTTCATAAATGTTTTCTATGCATGAAGTACCACCCTTCACTTACATGCAAGGCACATAAGTCAGTCCTGTATTAAACTCAGAGCCTGGGTGCTCTTCCCTGAGACTCTTCGTGCTCAGGGTACTCTACCACTTGAGCCACAGCACCACTTCTGGCTTTTTCTGAGTAGTTTACTGGTGATAAGAGTCTCACAGAGTTTCCTGCCTGGGCTGGCTCTGAACTGTGATCCTCAGATCTCAGCCTCCTGAGTAGCTAGGATGACAGGCGTGAGCCACCAGTGCCTACCTATAAGTCAGTCCTTCTAACCACAAATACCCACCGTCCTTCCACTTGCACAAGCATCTGAGTCGGTCCTAACCACAGACACCCACTGTCTTTATTCCATTTGAGATGTGTCCTCACGCAGACCAGTCTGGCCGCACTGCCCACAGACACTTCTGTATCCTGCTTCCACAAGCTACTTTCCATCCCATCCAGCACCTGCATGCATTCTCACAACACTCAGGTAAGATCCTGGCTCCAGAGGTGGTGCTACACATCTGCTGGCCTCTGTGGCCATCCTGCTGGGCTCGGCGCACCTGCTGATAGGCCAGTCTGGCCGGCAATTCCTGTCCTGCAAGGCTCTTTTGACAGCACTGGGTGAGAGATTGCTCACTATGGCCCATTCTAGGCACTAGGACACTTGGTAGACAAGGAGGACACGGTCTCAACCCTATGCTGAGACTTAAGATAGACTTAAGGACATTTTCCACCCAGGTCTGTCAAAGGACAAGGAGGATCAGAGGTCTCTGTGTGACTGTGGGAGACTTGCTTCTCCAGGCTGGTGGCCCATCCGGCAGCCATGCTCCTGGCAGGCTGGGTGGCATAGTCTGCCCTGTGGCTTCTGAGCCCTTGACTTTGAAATTAGCCTGGCTTTCAGTCCTACCAATGGATCCTGCATTCAGGACACAGGCCAGGCAGCTGGAGCAGAAGGGCGGTTGCTTTACCTCTAGATTACAGTCAGGGTAGGAGACTAGGAAGGTCTTCCCTGTCTTTCAACACACCTTTGTTGGTGCTGGCTTTCCTGTGCTCCACTCCCCACTTTCACGGACTCACATGGAAGAACCAGCTGTGCTGAGCAGTGTCCGCTGAGCAGGGGTAGCTGTGGACAGACTGGGGCAATGGCTACTCAAACACCAGAGCCTGCTCTTCTTCCGTTGGCCACACAGCAGGTCCAGCTCGAGTCTTTCACTGGGCCCTTCCCCGGCTGCCCCCAGCCTCTCCCGTAGATCACGCCTCAGCCTCCTCCCTGCTCCTGCCTCACTCCACCCACTAATGTCCATGCTGCCCCAGGGACCAAGTCTGCCTGGGCCCTACAACTTGCAGAGTTCCCCTGTCTTCAGTGTGGCCTTACCATACCTAATATTTAGCTTCCCACGTTATATCCCCCATGACCTCCAGCATCATTAGCTGTTCATATAAAGACTGAGATTAATGCTCACCCCAAGAGGTATACATTACTACCGGTAGAGGACTGAACCTTGAGATGGGGGCATCTACCAGTGGCGTGGTCACAGATACCAGGGCAGACTCCTACCAGTGCGTGCGCTGCCCACCTCCCACAGGGGCCAGGGGTTTCCACATGGCCAAGTGTCTTTCCTGACCCCCATGTACTTGGCGCTCCCTAACCCCAGTCACCTGCTTCCTGCAAGCCTCTCAGGGGTTGCCTGCTCGGCCCCTCAGTGCTGCCTAGGGTACCCTGGAAAGCAGGGGCACCTGTCCTCCCCAGGGAGGTGGCCAAGGTGCTGAAAGGACCCTGGTGAGTCAGTGGGTGTGGAGGCCAGGCCAGGCCACTTAGGGGGAGCCACGCAGAAGCTGGAGATGTGGGGGCCAAGCTGGAGGACTTCCTCCTAACAGTAAGGGCCTGTGCGTGTGTGTGTGGACACACACACACACGTATATGTGTATGTGTTTGTATGCCAATACTACTCCCACTTGGCTTTTTTGCTCAGGGCTGGCACTGTACTGCTTCACACTGGAGCCATACTTGCACTCCCAGTTTTTGCTGGCTTTTTTTTTTTTAATTATTGGCTCACATTAGTTACATGGAGGACTTGGTTATCACGTATTGTCGACGCTGTGTTCTTATCTGTGTCACCCCCTCCATCACACTCCCTTAAGGACACAGTTTTAAATGTACAGGAACCTGAGGATATGGGCATGCTCTGTGTTAATTGCCAAAGTAATTCAGCTTGCTATTTTAAGGAAGGGAATAAAAATGCTGCTGATGGTCATGAGTGATTCAGATAAAGAAAACCGACTCCTTGACTCCTTCACAGGTGGCTGGCAGGGAAGCGCCCTGGCCCCCAGCCGTGTAGCAAGAGCATGGGGGCTGACGGCAGACCTCTGCTGACGTGTGGTGCTTGCTGCGGCCCAGGGCTGGCAGAGTCCGATGGTTTCAGGTCACTGGGCACCTGTCTGTCCAGCACCTTACCCCTCTCTGCATTGGGCCTGGTACAGACCTGTCCTGCCCAGGAGGCTCCAGGTATTCTGCCTGGCATGAGGCCTACAGGCCTTCCCTAATGTAGATTTAGCCTGCTTGGTCTCCTCTCCTAACTCAGGCCACCAGGAAGGCCCAGCCCTCCAGGTCCCATGTAAGATCAGGGTGAGTCTGCCTGCCTGCCTGCCTGCCTCCGTGCCTGCCTCATGGTGGTGACTTTTGACTAGTCCGTGCACCAGTGAGTGGAGCAGGGATGAGCCACAGTGAGGCCCACTGTGACTCAGCCAAGGGGAGTGCGTGGTCACCTAACACCACCATCACCTAGCTGCACTTCAAGCGGCTGCTTCTCTCGCCTATACCTCCTCAGTGGTAATCTGGAATCCTGGGCAAGACAGCTGCCCTTCTGGTCCTCGGGGACTCTGCTCTGCCATGCTCTGGAGAAGGCTGTCCTGTGGGTGCTCAGTGGAGCTGTGGACAGTGTCGTGGGTATGCCCACTGCCCACCTGCTGCCACGTGGGCCATCTCCCTCCCACCTGCATGTTCCAGCTGTGCCCAGTGCTCTTGCCGCACGGGTTG